ACTCTAAAAAGTAGATTAGTACTTATGTTGGATATCAAGTTCTTCTTCAAACTCTGGGGGCATTATGCATAGGAGCGAGCTGCCCCCTGTACCTCATTACCTTGAACTTTGGAATTGATTGTGTGTCATGGGAGATACTGGCAAAGGACCACCCAGCATGGCATACCTGCATCTAAAAAGGGATTGTGCTCTGTGAGGGAAGCAGAATTGCAGTAGCTCAAAAGAAACATGAAATGTGCAAATTTTGAGACATCTCCACTCCAAATATTCATGTGAACAATTTTTGCCCAACTTGTGGTACAACCTTCTGAGCTCTCATTGGTCTGATCAGCCACGGTTGGATACACTACCCCTTGACTCCAACATAGTGGTGTCATTTTGGTCCTCTTCAAGAACGAAGGACGACAACCAACCAACGTCAGTACCTCTTGAGGATGCCACTGTATAGTACAAAAATTAACGTACATAATGGTGACTCTGAGCTATCAAGGAAAAATGATTTATGTTCAATGTAGTTTATCTACTGGAATGGATGGTAATTCCAAAGAAGGAAATTTAGAATCAATGTAAAAAAAAAAAAATCAATTTAAGCTGTCCAAAAGTAGGATGAGCTTCTTCAACAGGCAGTGGGCTCCCCCTTCCTCCTCTTGGAGATCTTAAAGCAAAGCCTGAATTCTTGTCAGATGTCAGAGTAGGGATTCCATAAGGATATGGGCTGGACTAGATGTCCACTGAGTCCCTTCCAACACTTAAATTCTGTGATTTTGTGATAATGCATTTTAGGAAGATTTGTATCAAAAATGTTAAAAAATTTCAAAGGAATGAAAATGACATAAGGTAAGACCCAAAGGAAAGAATTAGCAAGTCATAAGAAGTAAATGGTAAATAGATTGGTTTGACTGCAACATCAGGAGCTGTGGAGAAAAGTAAAAACGTAGAGGGGAAAGTTTTCAAAGAATTTAACTTGTCACAAAAGTAAAGAAACAATCTAAGCCTGAAAGTGTTCTATGCAGGGAAAGGATAAAAATGCATTACTCTTTAGAAGTTATTAAATGACAGAAATAGCTTGACAAGTACCAAAAAAATCCAAAATATATTATCAAGATTAAATACCTAACACTAGATTCAACCACTCAGATCAGGTGAAACTAGGACATTAACAATAGAAAATGAAGAGCTTGACAGGCTTAGATTACCTGTACAGTTATCTGGGTTCAGAGTTTTCCCATTTGGGAAATTGCAGTGTTTTTCACTGGTTTTCACTTTTCCAATGAGAGTTGAGTCAGTGAATGACCAAAAGTATTTGTCTTTTCTGCAAATTCCCTAAGGTGTCCTCATCTTTCAGCTTTGAGTGGAATCAGTTAATACTGAAGAAATCTGTAACTAAATAAGTATGTCTTCATAACATATTTTCTTCTTCAACTTGATCTTACAGCTAAATCATCATTTATTTATGTGCAATGACATTATCCAGGATTGATTGTGTTGAAGATTCTTTAGTTTTATCAATGACCAAAGGATTTAAAAGAAACTCTTTTGAACTCATTCCATTGATGGGTAACTAATATAGATGAAAAGAAGAATTTTTAAAAATGTAAATGCAGTTTTTAATTTGGAAATTTGAATATGTTGCCTTCTTCTCCAATGGACCTTGAAAGTTTCAGGGTTCTAATAAAGTGGCAGAAATTGTTCCCATCCCCACTATCACTTTGGCTCATTCCTTTGGTAAGCTTTTATTGTATGTCTACTATGTATTATCTGCTAAGCAATGGTCTGGGTGCAGAGGGGAATACAAAGAGTTATACTTTGGTTATGCTAAAGAAGTGACTAAAACGCCTCTACCTTTTGATTCAGAGATTTCACTATGAGGCATATAGATCAAAAGAGATCAAAAATAGACAGACCCCCCAAATAAATCATAGCAGAATTTTTGTGGTAGCAAAGAAATCAAAATAGAGTTTCGTTAATTGGGGAATAGCAAAACAAATTGTAGTACACAAAAGTAATGGAATATTACTGTGCTCTAAGAAACAATGAATGGAAAATATACATATAGCATGGAAATTTTCTATAAACTGATACATAATTAAAAATAACCAAGAAACACTACAAAAATGACTACCAACCATATTATTGGAAAGAACATACTAAATACAAAGCTTAATTTGTCTCCAAAGAGTGATAGAAAATGTAGCTCCCTCCCTTCTTTGCAGAGGTTGGAAATTATGAGTATAGAGGATTCTCAGACTCAAGTACTGTGTATTTAATTAGACTTAACTACCTTATTTTTTCCTTTCTCTCCTTTTTTTCTTTGTTACAAAAGATGGAGAGGAATATTTTTTTTTCAGAATGAGAGGGTGGCTAAATAAAAAGTATCATTAAGAACATCCATTTATCAAGCATTTTTTCTTCTTTCCACCTCCCCCCACCCACTGAAAAAGAAGGACGGAAGGAAGGAAGGCAGGAAGGAAGGAAGGAAGCCTACATCAAATAAGCATAGTCAAGCAATAAAATTTCTAAGTAGGTCACCTCCAAAAATGTGTTTCTTGTTCTGCTTATTAGTCATCATCTATCAGTCATGAAGTGGACAGTGTTCTTCTTTATCAGTCAGTCCACTGGAATCATGGTTAATCTTTTAGTTGGTCAGAGTTCTTACATCTTTGAGAACTGTCTGTTTTCATAATGTTGATGCTACAGCATAAATTGTTCCTCTGGTCCTGCTCTTGTGACTCTAAATCCATTCATACAAGTCTCATATCTTTTTGAAACCTTTTTTTTTTCATTTCTTTCATCACAATAGTATCCCATTACATTCTCATACCACAGTTTGATCAGCCATTCCCCATTTAGTATAAGATCTTTTTTCAGAAAGAATGAATGATGCAAAATGAGTACATGATTTAGACATAAAGGGTGATTCCATAAGCAAATTAGAAGAGCAAGGAATAATTTATCTGTCAGATCTATGGAGAAGGGAAGAATGTATGACCAAACAGGAGATGGAGAACATTATGAAAAGCAAAATGCATAATTTTGATTACATTAAATTAAAAAGTTTTTGTACAAACAAACATTTTAGGATTAGGAGGAAATCAGAAAGCTGGGAAACAATTTTTATAGCCAGCATCTCTGATTTCTAAAGGCTTCATTTCTAAAGTATATAGAGAACTGAGTCAAATTTTGAAGAATACAAGTCATTCTCCAATTGATAAATGGTCAAAAGATATGAACAGTCAGTTTTCAGATGAAGAAATTAAAGCTATGTATAGTTAAATGAAAAAATGCTGATGGGGCAGCGAGGTGGTGCAGTGGATACAGCACTGGCTCTGGAGTCAGGAGGACCTGAGTTCAAATCCGGCCTCAGACACATAATGCTTCCTAGCTGTGTGACTGTGGGCAAGTCACTTAACCCCAATTGCCTCACTAAAAAAAAAATGCTGTAAGTCACTATTGATTACAGAAATGCGAATTAAAACAACTCTGAGGCACCACTTCACACTTATCAGATTGGCTAATATGACAAAAAAGGAAAATTATAAATGTTGGAGAAGATGTGGGAAAATTGGAACATTAATTCATTGCTGGTGGAGTTGTGAACCGCTCTCCATTCTGGAGAGCAATTTGGAACTATGCCCAAAGGGTTAAAAAATCGTGCATATCTTTTTATCCAGCAATATCACTACCAGGTCTGTATCCCAAAGAGATCATTGAAAAAGAAAAGGACCCACATGTACAAAAATATTTATAGCAGCTCTTTTTGTGGTGGCCAAGAATTGGAAATTGAGAGGATACCCATTAGTTGGGGAATGGCTGAACAAGCTGTGGTATATGAATGTAATGGAATACTATTGTGCTACAAGAAATGATGAGCAGGCAGATTTCAGAAAGCCCCAGAAAGACTTCTGTGAACCGATGCTGAAAGAAGTGAGCAGAACCAGGAGAACATTATACACAGTAACAGTAACATTGTGCGATGACCAACTTTGATAGACTTAGCTCTTCTCAGTGATGCAAGGATCTAAGACAATTCCAAAAGACTCATGATGGAAAATGTTATCCACATCCAGAGAAAGAACTATGGAGTCTGAATGCAGATTGGAGCCTACTATTTTCTCTTTTTGTTTCTTATGGTTTTTCCCTTTTGTTCTGATTCTTCTTTCACAACATGACTAATGTGGAAATATGTTTAAATAAATAAGAAAGAATGATGGAGGTGATTTTTCTTGTGCTTCCACCTTGTAACTTCCTGTCCTGTGGTAGTAAGGTCAGTGTATACAGCCTTATAGGTTCATAAAGTGAAATAGCGTTATGGTTCTACTTCCAGCTCTAACATTATGTGACCTTAAAAATATCACTTTGCTCTCTGGGCCTCTGTCTCCTCATCTGTGAAATGGTGAGAAGCAAGATTTTAACTGGATGATTTGAAGTCCTATCCATCTTGAAAATTATATGATTCTAACAGATTTCTGAACCCTTCAAAAGTCAGCATTGGACTACCTCCACAAAGTAGGCAGGGAAATTCTGTTGATACAAAGCCATTTGTCAATGTTTCCATTCATCATTTGATAAATATTTACTGAGTAATTTTTGCTTTCAAAGCTCTGTACAAATTGTTAGGGGGATACAAAAAATATAAAACATATCCCCTGTCTTCAAATTACAAACAATCTAGAAATATCTTAGAATATTGTTTTTCTCTCTTCACCTTGGAAATGTACAAAATTTACACCTATGACAAATGTCCAGGTACTCTCCAGAGCGGTTGAGTGATTGGGGTACAGGAATAAACATATACTCGAACCTAGACAGTAGGATAGGATGTCATGATGAAAAGATAACATTAAACATTATTCCATAAAATCCATGAATTCTGTTTCTTCTCTTAAGTTGTCCTTGTGCAGACTTTCCTATTTATTTGAATTATATCTAGTGAACTTAAAATAATATGGACTGACATGACCGAGAGCCTGGATTTTAATCTGCTGTGTTTTCTTTCTTAGGATATCAATGAGTGCATTCTTGAAAACTATCCTGAATGTTCCAACCCAAGATTATTTTACATCATACCATATTTTTGTGGACAGCATCCAAGATGCAGGTAAAGATATGTGTATCTGTGTGTGTATGTATGTGTGTGTGTGTATATACATACACATATACATATATGAGACAATATAACATTGTAATGAAATTGAAATATAACATTGTGTATTGAAAGCACACTGGTCTGAGACTTTGTATTAATCAGTTTCATCCATGGCACCCCACATTTCTGGCATCCAATTAATATTAAGGTTTAAGCACTAAAGATAAGATAGACTAAAGAATAGGGACAACGCCTATGATTTCATTCATATGGGGATCTCCCAGATGAAGAAACTCACTCTACCAATGCAGATCAGCATAAGATTCTAAAATTTAGAGTCTTCAGGAGTCTCCTAGATCACTGGTGTCACACTCAAAACAGAAATGGTTCCTTGGCCACATATTGACTTAGAAACAACAAATTAATACTATATTACATTGCATTTTTACTTATTTTTCTAAGCATTTCCAAGTTACATTTTAATCTGCTTCAAACCTCGGGAATGCGGGGGGGGAGGGCTGCCCCACTTGCCATAAGTTTGACATCGTTAGCTAGATCAACAACGGGTTAAGTCACTTCCCAGATAACATGTTTATATCTTTATAAGATTCTGAATCTGTTATTTCAATCCACAAGTATTTGTAGATCATAAAATTTAGGGGTGTCAGGAATCTTAGAGGTCACCTAGCTCAGTTCCCTTATTTTATAGATAAGGAAACTGAGGCCCAAGAGGTTAAATGACTTGTCCAATGTCATACAGGTAGCAAGCTGCAAAATTAGAATCTGAATTTAAGTCCTCTAACTCCAAGTCCAGTCCCCCTTCTACTTTATCATGCTGCTTTTGCAGGGTTCATAACCTTTCCTCCATTTATTTGCTTCTCCTGAGAGATCCCATCTCTTACCCAATCCAGTGACCTAGACTTTAAATTTTTAATTTTAAAAATTTAAATTAAAAACTTTAAATTTAAACAATTATATTTTAAGTGATCTCTTGTTTAAAAATACCAAATTTTATTTGCTTGTTTGTTCATTTTTAACACAGAACAAGATGGTCTCAGATCATGGTATTTATTGGACACTTACTACAAGGAACCATGCTGTGAAGGATATCATATGAGAAAGATAAAATTTATGCCTGGCCTTTAGAAATATTACTTTTCAGACATACAGACACATGGCCACAGCTGGGGAGGCTGGGATTCCCTCACACACTGCTACCCCCCCAAAAAAGGTGCTATTTCCAGCTGATGTGTTACTTGAGACTAATATCTACTATCAATGCTTTCTGTTTCCTTTCCTCTTTGATGTTTCCTTGACCTTTCTCTATGCATACACATTTTCTCCCCCCTCCCTGCCCCCCACATTTGGATCTTTTTTGATTTTCAAACTTAGTTCACTACTTCATACCTAGTATTTGTGGACTATTGGCTTTGATCTTAGCCTGGTTCTCTGTTTGCCTGCTTTTGTCTAACCTTGGACCATGCCTTCCTTCCTTCTCCAAATCTGTCAATTGTTAATCTCAGCACGCATCGACCACACTCACCCCTCACTCCCACACCGCATTCAGCTCAGTAGGAGACTATCTTATTTAACACACAAAACAAAAATAACTCCTCCACCCCATAGTTCAGACAGTGAGATGGCTGTTTTCTTCTACTCTCTTGGCTTGTCTTTGAGCCTCTGGAACTGCAATCGCAGAACACTGAGCTCCAGCAGCAGTTGGGCCAGACCACAAAAGAACTGGCTACACACTGGGGAGCCCTTGAGGCCTTGCAGGAAGTCAAGAAACAAGAAGGGCAAGAGGCCATGGTACAAGGTGCCAGCTCCTTAGCAAGAATTTGAGGTAGGACACACCTGCCTGGACTGATCAACTTTTAGAAAATTTAACGATGAGTACAGAAAGCCAGCAACCAACTGCACTCTTTAAAAAAACAAACAAACAAACAAACAAAGTTTTATTTTCAACCTATTTGCAAATCTTTTGGCCTACATAGGATTCTGTCTCTGGCTAGTCACAAAATTTCTATGAGTTGTTAATCTTCTTTGTCTATCTGCAGTGCATTGGAGAGTCTGCGCACCTTGGGGAAAACCAGCATGACTCTAACCTACTGTTATAGTCCTCAGTACAACCAAGGAACTAAGTCATCGTCCAGTTCCACAAGAGAATAATTTTCAATAGAGGTCTTTCATCACCCATTCCCAGGCTGACCAAATAAATAGCCTTTTCAGCAGTCCGTCTAACCTTGAGACTGAACTTCTTAACCAGCTGGCATTATGGGTCCCATCTTAGATAGGTTCTGGGGCCTCTGGAAATTTTGTAGACTAGGTCCTCATTCAGCAAAAACAAGTGGTACAATTAATACTTGGGTCCTCATAAATAGTTTATCAAAGAGACTAATCAACCTATTTTTTTTTTTGGAGGCAATCGGGGTAAAGTTGTCTTGCCCAATGTCACACGGCTAGTAAGAATCTGAGGTGAATTTTGAACTCAGGTCCTCTTGACTCCAGGCCCAGTGCTCGATCTACTACACCACCTAGTTGCCCCTAATCTGTCTATTCTTGCAGTGGGTTCTAGCTGATCTCTCACAGAGTGTGCTGCTCTCTCCCACTCCATGGCCCCATATTTAGTTCTTCTGCAGGGTAATATCAACTGGGCAAAACTGTACTAGATAGAAAGCCACATATATTAAAAAGCCATGTTGTAAGTCAGATAATATCACCTTGAGGGAGCAAGGAGCCCATCCTCATCCCTAAGGACGTGGAATACCTCTGGATGTCTCATGAGCCTCAGCTACATACACATAGATACACAGAGGTATTTTTAGGAGATTTGACTTTCCCATCTCTTATATTCTGAGACCAGGTGGTCCTACAGCTGGCACAAGATATTTACACACAAGTCCTAGATCTCTACTATAAGTTGGCACAACTTCCATACCTCAAGGAAGATAAGCCTCTAATACACACCTGAATCTTTGCTTTTGACAGTATACCATTTAAGAGAGGCCCATTCAGCAGTACTTGTCCTCTGCCACTACAGCCTGGTGGCAGGGCCACATGAGCCTACCCAAAACCTTATGTGTCATCAACCAGTAACAGACACTGGTCTGCTGGTTGGCCTCCTGAAACCTGCATGCCTATGGGTACCCCAGGAAATTAATGAACCAAAATATCATCTCCTTCCCAATTATGCAGGTGATTAGTCCTGTGGCTTATTATCATTCGTATGACACATCTACTCTAATTTCCACCAGTCATTTCAGCACATTCATCTGGACACAAAACTGCAGCTACCAATCCCTTGCCCATCTCCACTAACTGTGAACATACAATAAAAATATATAATCTAAGCCATCTTGAACTCAGGCAATGGGATCTCCTCCAGTAGATAGTAGATTAGGAAGGTCTGAATCTGAAGAGAAAACATAAGAAATGGCATACAAATTGTGTGCCCTGGTGTTGGTGGAAGTCTTCCCACTCAAAATAGCCTTGAACTCTGGGGAAAGAATCTATAAGGAGGGAGTATGTTAAAATCCACAACAACAAGGCTACGTCTAAGGGAGGAAGAGACACGACTGACCCATTGTTACTTTAAATGAATGCTGTCTCTTACTGAAACAAACTTTCATTTGCCAGTGCTCCACTTTCTTCCCTTTCCATGGTGTTAATTGACCTTACTCCTTGTAAACCTTCCCTTGACTTCCAACCTTTTTGCTCTCAGATTCAGTTCATTATTTTCCGTCCATCCCTCTGGAGCGGTTTCCCTTACTAACTCTGATCTTGACCCTACTTTCTGTTTATCCAGTTGGTTCTCAACTTGGACCATACTCTAGCCCCTCCTCCAGGTGGCAGCCTCTTACTCTAGGCCTAATGATTGCTGCTAATATTTATTACATGTTGTGTCCCCCTCCTCCCACTCACTCATTTCCCTATTCATTCTGCCACTTGGGGACCAAGACCAAGTATTTATAGTCTAGTAGGGTAGAATAGATGTTTTAAAATTAAGAAATATGGATTTACTGGAGGTTTACTGGAGGAAATAGAGAAGAATGACTCAGGGAAGGTGATACTCCAGTATCTTGGACTTTAACACCTTCCCTACAATTAAAAATAGCTCATAGAGTCAAGAGATTTTTTTTAAAGTGCCTGACCTCGCTGGTGAAAAAGTGGTTCAAATAGGTCTGAAGTATCTCTCCAAGTTTTTTATATTGCATAAAAATGTGCCCATTACTTTATTATCAGTTTCATAATTCTAACAAATCAGTGTATTGAAAAAAGGAATTCTTAGTGTTTTCAACTGAGTGCTCACAAGAGGTTTTAGACACATGTAGAGACCACATATTTAGAGCTGGAAAGGATCTGATAGGCCATCTTGTTCATTCTGTCCATTTTATAGTTGAGGAAATTGAATCCCAAGCAAGTTAAGTGATTGGCCTAAAGTCACACAGGTAATAAATGACATGGGTAGAATTTGAACCTGGGTCCTCTGATTCTGCATCCATTGCTTTCTCCACTATACCATGCAGTCTTTCGTTCTGATATCTTCCTGAGAAACCTGCTTCCCTGCGATATTAATGAATAGTCATTGAGGAGAGGACCAATATTACAGTCTAAAGAAAAAGTGATGGTAGCAACCTGGAGTTCTCTTTCTCAGGCAGAAAATAAACCTTTTAACTGAGAGATTAGATTCCCCCAGAGGTAAACTTTGGCTAGAGAAGGGATTCCTTTTGGGTATGGATTGTGGTAGATGACCTCTGAGGTTCCCTTTCATTCTCATACTCTGTGATTCTGTGATAAAGCAGTTGACAAGAATACTAGGAAGCACACATTCTTCCTGATTTCGTTTCTTTTCTTACTTCTTTATTACTCCAATTTCTTTTGCTTTTAACCAAAGGCTTCTTTGAAGTAAGAATTCTGATGGGAATGTGGCTGGCCATCCTCCACCTCATCATAAATAGATTTCTCTGAAGACTGAGTCATTTTTTTCTTGGTAGTCAATGTCAGCTTCTTGAGAGCAGACTCTGTTTTGATTTTGTATTTACATTTCCAACTCCTAACACAGTGCCTAGTACATAGCACTGTACCATAGTACCATAGCATTTACTAAATGTTTATTGAGTGACTGATTGATTCCACAGGGTAATCCCACAATAGCAGGATCTTGGAATAGAGAAACCATTAGAATAAACAGTTTGAGAAGATCTATATTCCTGTTTTTTTATGACCCCATAAAGGACATCCCAAAAATCTTAGTTCAGTTTTAAACTTTAATACCTTAAAACTGCTCCAAGACTTTTGGGACACCCTGTATTACTATAGCTTTTAATATCAGTTATTTTTCATGATTTAGGATAAATATTATATTTTATAGTTAGAAGGACTTCATAGGCTGTCTAATCCAAGATCTCCACTTAATAGATGAGGAAACTCAGGTCTATGCAGGAGAAGTGATTTGCCCAAGATCATATAGGTAGTTAGTGTCAGGGGCAGGATTTGAACCCAGATCTTCCCTTTCCAGAGCTGTCTCTCATTTTGCTATACCATGCTGCCTCAAAAGAATGAGACCTCATTTCTAGAATTATATTATGACTTCCAGGGTTGACTAGAGGTACTTTCCATTAACCCAGGCATTATTTGTTAGTAAGTTCCACTAGTTACTTACACCCCTTTAAAAAAAAAAAATTCTGACTATTACTTGGGTAGCCAATTACAGTAGCAATGATGTAAATAGAAAAAAAAACAACAATAAAACAATTGAGACTGAATGCTATCAAGTTCAAATGACTAATCTTGGTGCCAAAGAAGAGATCTAAGAAAATACTCCCCCACCCTACTTCTTTACAGAGTGGAAGACTACAGGGGTCAAATACTGTGCATAATATCAGATTTTTTCAAAATGTTTGGTTAGTTTTGTTGAACTCTTTCTTCCTCTTTTTTTTTTTACTAATTTTTATAAAGGATGTATCACTGAAAGGGGATGGGGGAGGGCTATATTGAGAAATGAAGATGATGTGAAAATCAAATGCAACAAAACAAAGTTTTAAAACCAGAAAAAAAAGAAATTTGGGGAGAAATGTTACAGTCACCCCTACATGTTTACAGAAGGAACATTGAAAGTGATTTTCAGAATACTGTTTCTGCATTCCTAGATAGAATCTTTTTACTTAAATGTAATATATCTCTCCTCAAAGGGAGCCTGGTGAATGGGCCCTCGAAAGAGCAAAACTGAACGTGAATGAACATTTCCTACTTGTGGGGATCCTTGAAGAGCTGGAAGATGTGCTGCTTTTACTGGAAAGATTTTTACCTCATTACTTCAAGGATGTGCTCAGTATCTACAAAAACCCAGGTAAGTTTTCACTTTCGCCAGGTAGTTGTCAGAGAGTGTTCAGGGGGAAAGGGTCCTATAGGCTAATTGGGAAGAACTTGAGGTCAAGAAGAGAAATTGTTCCATTAATAAAGGACATTCCTTCAAGCTTGAGCAGTGAAGCCTGAAATATGAAATCCAGGGTTCAGGTTCAAACAGATATTGTAAGTATCTTACAGTAAGATACTTACAGCATCTTAAACTCCTGTTTCTGTTTCCCTGCTTGTCAAAGGAACTTGAGTAAAAATACAGTTGACACACATTTTAAGGATACTGGGGAGAGGGAGAGGTGGCAGGAGGAAAGAGTTCATCAACCAGGGTGTCTAAGAGCTTTTAACTCCATAAATCAAAAACCATTTCATATGTGATCGATCCCAGCTCTAACACTTAGCTGCCATAGGACCTTGGACAAATCACTTAACATCTCTGAAACTCAGTTTTCTTATCTGTAAAATAGGCATAGTAATAATAATAATGTTCTTGCTATAATCATGTTTATAACTAACATTGTGATCAAATACTTCTGGCCCTAGTTTTGTTGGCCAGAAACATCCTGATGTGTTCATTACTTGCTACTGATGTAAGAGCAAAGTAAAAAGGAAGTTGTGAGTTATGCGTAAATGCTATGCTGGCAAATTGAGTGGTTAACAGATAAGCTCAAGAAAAACAATATGATATGACAGAGCTTGTATGAGAATAGATTGTAGCGTCTTCTACAGCCTGTAAAGCTTAAATTGTCCTTTACGGAATTAATTTATTTTTCTTATTATCTTATTCACACACAGGAAGAGACAAGCAATCTTTCCTACTCTCTTTAATTTCTTTCCGCCTGAGCAAACCTTTTACACACACACACAAAAAAAAAAAATATATATATATATATATATATATATGGGTGTGTAGAAAAAATATACATATATAGTTTGTATACGTATGCATACATATAGATAGAGGTAGGGAAGGGAAGGGAAGATAGGAAGAGGGAGAAAGGAAGAGAGAGAAAGAGAAAGAGAGAAAGAAAGAGAGAGAGAGAGAGAGAACTCCTGTTTATGAAAATAAGGAACTAGTTAAAAAAAAACCCAGAGTAGTATATTTATCTGTGTGTATGCTGTTTCCCCTAATAGAAGAGGAAGTGTGATGTAGTAAAAGAACACTGTATACAAAAGTCAGAAGAGACATGCGTTTTAATCCCAGCTGTAACATAGTTTACCTGCTGTGGGACCCCAGGCAAATCACTAAACCTCTCTGAAACTCAGTCTTCTTATCTGTAAAATGGGCATAATGATAATAATAATGTTCTACTTACCTCATGGATTTGTTATGATCTTGATAATAGCTAGCATTTATATAGTACTTCAAGTTTTGCAAAGTACTTTACAAATATTAGGTCACTTTATCTCCACAACTAGGGCATGTAGGTGTTAGTACTATCCTCATCTTATGGATGAGGAAACTGAGGCAAACAAAAGTTAAGTGACTTGCCTATGTTCACACAACTAATGATTGTCTGAGGCTTAATTTGAACTCAGGTCTTCCTGACTCCAGGTACAGTGCTCCATTACCTAGAAACCCCACTTGGGTGTAAGAAATGTACTTTGTAAACCCCAAACTATGGAAATGCATACATACATACATACATACATACATATTCACATACTTGTATGTATATATACATATTACACACATACTACAAAAGAACTATTAGGAAACTGTTAAACATTATTAAGTTTGAATTCAACATCCCTAAATTTCTTTTAGGACAACTTCAAATATATTTTTCATGATGCATTTTTATCTAGGGCTCTTAGTGTTCTTAACAAATATGTTCCATATGAATAAACATTTATTAAACACCTAATGTATATAGAGGATGAACTGAGTATTGAGGGACATGCCAAGGTAATAAGGCATATAGTCCTTACTCTTGTGGATTATGCTCTCTTGTAGAATATGATTCAAATACAAATAATTTTAATAATAGGAAATGTGTGACAAGTAACTAAAAGCAGTGCAATGAGCTATGTGAAGTCCAAGGGGAGAAAGGCTATTACTAAATAGGAGGACCCCAGCAATCTTCTTGGAAAAAAATGGGATTGACGTTGGACTTTACATGGCAGAAAATGAACAGGTTGAGAGGTGGGGAGAACATTCCAGGCCTAAGCAGATATAGAAAGATAAGAAATTGTGGCACATGTTTTGTGAGTGGATGAAGAAACTGAAGGAAACAGGATTAAGTGACTTGCCCAGGGTCACATAGCTAGTAAACATCCAAGTCCAGGTTTGAATTGAAGAAGATGAGTCTTCCTGACTACAGGCCCAACACTCTATCCACTGCGCCACCTAGCCACCTATATTCATCATTTACTTAACCTTTAAAAAATTAGCAATTAAAGACCAAAGATGTTAAGAGAAAATTCACCACCATTCAATGAAACATGGAAATGTGGACTAGAATGCCCCTTTTCCAGAAGAATTCCTACCCACCCTTCAAAGCCCAACTTAAATTCCACCTCTTCCAATAAAGCCTTTCCCTGATCTCACTTGCCATTGATGAGCTCAGCCTAACTCCCAGCACCTGGAAAGAGTGTCAACTTGTCATTTAACAGACAATATCCCCAGTGCAAAGAACAGATTATGATGTGTGGTCTATACAGCAGCCCCGAACAGAAACCAATAAGATGATGGCTCAACCAGGAACTGGATGTCACCACTAGTTAGACAGAAAACTGGCACATCTAAAATAAAAAAGTTTTTAATTGTCAGCTAATATGGCATGGGACAGTTGAGAAGCCTAAGGAAAAGGATCCCACTTTTGCCATTATCAATAATAATGCCATTATAATTGTCATTAGCAATAATAATAACGATAAACACACTTTCAGGTTGTGTTTTATGGCTGCAAAGCACCTTAAGTACATTATCTTACTAGGTCCTTATAACACCTTTTGCAAGGTAGGTAGTTTGAGAATTATTATCCTCATTTTTCACATAAGGAAACACAGGCACCAGAGATGAAATGAAGAATTTAACTTCCAAGTTAAATCTTCTTGTGTCAAACGTGGAATTCCCCAAAATCTGATCACTTGCATCCAGTGACCTAAAAACTTCCTTCATCACTTGGACGGATCTCACCAATGTTAATAAACCCTCCATGGGTACAAATCCAAATCTCTCCATGCCTTCTTATCCTGTGCAGTTTTTTCATCAGAACTTTTCTAGCTTGGTAATTTCTTTCAGAGCTTCCATCCCTCCACTAAGAACATATTACTTCATTTCAAATTACTCTAGTGCCTTTGTCATATAATACCATGTAACTACGTGGGTTTTATCTGAGTTTTTATCTCTCTCCTGAAGCACTTAGTAAATGGCAAATAAATGAATGAACGAATATCAAATTCATTTTGTTGTTGTTCAGTCATTTCTGTCATGTCCGACTCTTCATGACCCTACTTGGGGTTTTCTTGGTGAAGATACTGGAGTGGTTTGCCATTTCCTTCTCTAGCTCATTTTACATATGATCAAACTGATTTAAAAATATCAAGCGATTTGCACAGGGTCACATAGCTAGTAAGGATCTGAGGCCAGATTTGAACTCTGGTCTTCCTGACTCCAGGCCCAGAACTCTACCCACTGCACTACCTAGCTGGCACAATCAAATTCATAAGAGTATAGATTATAGAATATGAGTTTAGTACTCATCTTACCAAGAACTAATGGGTTGAGTTGGAAGATAGAATATCTGTAAGTTGAGGGAAAGGGCAGTGGCAGTAAACTAAGACCAACATCTCTCTGCCTTGAACTAACAAAGGAAAGGAAATATCATGAGGGAGACGTAGGGAAAAGAAATAGACAGATAGAAAGAAAGAAAGATGGATAGATAGATAGATGGATGGATGGATGGATGGATGGATGGATGTTTTTCAGTTAAATCACGTCCAACACTTTGTGACCCCATCTGGGGTTTTCTTGGCAAAGATATTGGAGTGGTTTGCCATTTCCTTCTCTAGCTCATCTTACAGATGAGTAAACTGAGACAAACAAGGTTAAGTAACTTGCCCAGGGTCACACTAGTAAATGTCTAAGATCAGATTTGAACTCAGTAAAATGAGCCTTCCTGACTCCAAGTCTATCTACTGCATGAGAGAGAGAGAGAGAGAGAGAGAGAGAGAGAGAGAGAGAGATGGATGAATATAGATATATAGATGTGTGTGTATTATATCTCCACAAGCACCAGCATTCACCACAAATAAAGACTGCTAGTTGTTTAGTGGATAAAAAGTGGGACTTGGAGTCAGGTAGACCCAAGTTTCAATCCTGTCTCAGACATTTATTGGATGTGTGACAAGTCACTTAACCTCTCTCAGCCTCACTGTTCTCATCTGTAAATGAGGATAATAATAACACATGTGGTACAGGGTTGTAATGAGGAACAAATGAGATAACACAAATGTTGTGTAAGCCTTACAATACTATATAAATTCTTATCATTATCATTATTATTATTATTGACTTGAATAATAGTTTATTATTATCTCTTCTATTTTATGTTAATTATTTATGTTAATTATCTCTTCTATTTTAACTACTAGCAGTGTGTCTTTCAATTCTTTTTCAATGCTAAGGAACAGTATTTAAGCTACATTGTAGGTTTTGTGCCTACATTGTTTGTACAAAATAGGCTTTTGTAGACTGATTGGTGAAGTTAATCACAAGGTTTAACACTGATTCTGTGGGGACACAGTCCTAAATTCCAAACAGGTGTCTAAGGATTGTTCCTAAATATCCTTTGGGATAAAACCTGTTTGCAAATTGGGGTCTTATTTTTAAAGGACTATTACTTTTTAAATGCTTTAGCAAAACAAGGATGATAAATAGAAGCCACGTGTAAATATTGTCTTCTTTTTTTATTTTGAAGGAATGATAATTGAGCCCCAGATTTACAAGTGTATTAATCCACTTTCTGGGGGCATATGCATGCCAAA